GACAATACTTTGAATAATATCTGTATCTGTAACCACTTTTTCGCAATAAAGCCTTTAATTTTGGAAAAAAAAACGGCGGAAACAAAGTTGTACCGTCGAAATCAGTAAACCTTAAATTTTTAGTACTTAAATGAAATACAATTAATTTGATATGGTCAGTAAAGTTACAAAGAATTTGGCATGGCCAAAGGCAGCTCTTTTTTTCTTACTAAACATTTACTAAGTTATTTCAATTCAGTAATTTTATGTCAAATTAAACTATAATTTCAGAACTAGTAGTGAACTCTGAAGAAGAGAAAATACTGAATATATTCTTAGTACAATTTTAAGTATCATTTCTTGAACAGTTTTACGCTATTCAATATTGGTTTTGATATGACTCGAACCTCAGACTCGATGGAAATTGTCTTTATATCTTAAGTATGCAGTTTTCAAACTAATTTCAGATTATGCGCTTGACCAGACCACCTCCAGTTTCAGAACCGGTTCCAAGCAGCCTTCTAGAGAAAAAGAAAACACAGCGATATGTCTCGTACCTTCGAGGACGCTTAAGTGCTTATTTTTACAAAAAATTATTAATTATCAAAATTTATATGAGTCTAACAATTCTCATGTCAAAATACACTTGAAGTAATTGTCATTAACAGGAGCCGAACGCAGCTGAAATTTTTTTTTTTTTATTTCATCGTTTTTATTTTGCCCTAATCGAGCTTTATCCACCACCAGCAACCGCTTCGTAGCATTTACTACGCCTAAAGCGGCTGCGCAATGACTTCAAAAACAACAAAAATTAACGCCTGCACCGTTAGCAATAAAAATTTGCACAGTTTGCAAAATTTGTAAAATTCGCTTAAAACATCCGCTTGGTATGTCTATATACACATCTATATGTACATACGTGTATGTACAATATTTACGTCGTCGCACAAAAGACTTAAGCGACAAACTCGATGAAAATGACGTTCACTTTCAATGGGGGCAGTTAGCCCGTAAGTCTGTGCGGTAGATTAAATGAATGCAAACAAATGTATATTATATATATATGTATGTATGTGTATATGTCTGTTTACAAGAGCATTCTCTAAAATGTGGTGCACTAAAAATCTCGTGACCAAGTTTCAAGTACAGTAAGCGTGGCAAGCAAAGCGAATCTCTTGAAATCGATCCAAAGTCATAAACACATATACATACATATATACGACTAGAAATACATATTCATGTGCTAAGTAATGAACATAAAACGATGTATGTATATTTGACTGTGTGCAAGATGATTTTCCAACCTCTCATTTGCTCCATCTGCGGCTGTTGGCGGCATTTTCTGCTAAGTACAAAGATGCGATCTTGCTGAGATTGTACGCGGCGCTGTTTACACCAGCAGTCAAAAATGTTGTGATTGTTGCATTCGCTGTTGGTGTTGCTGCCGCTGTTGCTGTTGCTGTTGCTTTTGCCGATTACACAACTCTCAGCAATGCAATGCAAATAACAAGATTAATTATTATAATTTGATTGAAAGACTTAGTTTGCGCCATCAAAATAGCTTCAAGTGTTTTATTGTACACTGTTATTGTGATTGTTTGTGGGTTTTGTTTTGTTTTATTTCACACAAATCAAACATCAATTCACCGCATTCAATTGATAAACTCAAACGTGCTGCTGCGTTTTGCATCTCTTGTTGTGGAGCGAGAAACCTGCGATGGAGCTGCGTTGGTGGCTCTATGCCATCGTTTTGCGTTGTTGTGATCTTAATTGGTTTTTCTTTGAAAACTTTGCACCATTCACCACTCTGACTTTAGCTTAATTTGCTAGCTCTTGCTTAGTCAGCTGACTATTCATCCGCAGTTCCCGCCAGCAGCATCGCCCTCTATTTACTTGAAGCAGAAATAAGATAATAAAATAGAAAAAGTGTAATCCCTTTCAAATTCTACAAGTACTAACCCGGCAGTGAAGTAGTATGCTCGGAAGCCCTGTAGGAAAAATTTCAAATGAAATGATGGGAGCAATTACTGGAATGACTCGAACGACTGCACTTGAAAGGTTACTCAACTTGCCACCAATCGCTATCGCAGTGTAGAGCATTGAGACAGGTACATGAGCTCCGCCAACGGGGCAATACGCACTACATGGACGAATCCAAAATGACTGATACAATAGAACGGGCAGCGGAATCTATTGCGCTGAGCATAATCTCAGCCTACCCCTCAAGTTTTCGCGTTACTGCTGTGCTTTTTAGGCGTAGATCTTCAGGGTAAGGAAAGCCGTCGAGCTTGCTAAACCAGCAAAGAATCACATGGAAAAACATCCACATCGTTTTATGTCAAAAACAAGTCCCATAAGTAAATTGATGTGGTTAGTATTGCGTACTGCCATTCGGAAGGTCTGGATTCAAATTCTGGTATGAGCAACATCCAAAAAAGTTCAGTGTATTTCTGACATCAAATCAAAAGCTTTTCATAAAAAATCCGTCAGCCGCTCGGAGGTGGTGGAAAACCTTACATTTGTTGCAATAACAACAGAACGCAACCCACAAATGAGTAGAAGTTCGGCCGAAAATCGATTCAGCTGTTACAACTTCATATCTACCGGGTTACAGGACATGAGGTAATTAGGGAACGAAATAGTTGATGAGATTGTAAAAAGTCACATCCATCTGGTGATCGAACGATTATGAATTGCAAGACGGGTTGCCTTACCGATATGATAGACCGTCAAGATCATATGCAATGACTGGGGAGGCAATGACAAACAACAACCTACAGGCATCAATTGCATTCAGAATGGACTGAAAGTGTAGCGGAAGACAAGTCTTTGCGAGACGTTAAAACAACTCCTCTGTTATAGGCACTTGGACACTTTAGAAGACTACATTACTTTAAGGGAAATTATCTAAGGGGTAATAACCAGTCAGCTTGGTATGATCGGCTCTTTTTAATACACCCTTTCACAAATACAAACTGCTTGACAAGGAAGCTTAAATCGTCTTATCTTCTGTCCAACTTAAAGTAAACAAAGACTTCGAGCCTTTGTCGACATTCTTCTGGGCATTCAGTGCTAGGATACGGACACATAAGTAAGGTACAACGAAGTAAGAGATGCCGAAGTAATATTTGAATTGCTAAAATAAATGTGAGACTGTATTGGAGTATGTTTTTTATGTGGTGCCTCCCACACCCTACGCAAAATCACAGAGAGCTCATCTTATCACTTTAGCTCGCTTCCAAAGGCATGTTTCTTGGCTACTCAGAGAATAGTGCGGAAGTCGCGATCTGCTTGGACCATATGTAAATGACTGGCCACTCCGAGGTTAATGACAGTCAAAAGATTTCCTCACTTGCGTGAACTTCTACAAATGGCTCGATCCTCTACTTTAGGTTTGAAAGTATTTGATACAACAACCGCTAATGGAAGTATAGGAAGAAAAAGATCTCCACTGCACTAAGCGTTAAGTACGCCAATGACGATAAAGAAGAAATTAAAGGATGAGAGCAATGACGTCATCTCACTAAGGATTATTCATAGACCCTTGAGTCCATTTTGTATTACATATACATACATCATATATATAAATGGCGTTTTGTAACCGCTGAAGCGATTTTCGGCCGATCTCCTCCTCCAGTTTTACGTCTTGATGTTTTCCAAACAAATAGAGGGGCCTACAGTTTATACTAAGCCCCCTCCGAGCGGCTGTTGATTTTGGTTGGTTGGTCGACTACCGTGACCAGCTACATGTACATACATAATTTATATATCTGCCGCTAAGCGATAACGGTCAAGCTCTTCCTCCCATATCTGTTATGCGTCTTGATTTGGTTTTCTATGAACATTTTTCATTTCATGTCAGAAATATACTTGGAGGGTTTAGTATGCCGAGGGGTGACCGCAGAAAAATAGAAATCGGAAAATTATTTTTCTATAATTTTGGATGGTCGTTGAACCAGGATTCGAGCTCGGATACTCCGGCCGCCATAGAACTCAAAGCTCTACCAAAAAATCAAGTAGATTTCTATGTCCCACGGCCTCTCTCAAAAATTTCTAGAGCCATGAGTCCACTCAGAGTGAACATAAATAAAAAGCATACAAAAAGAATTGCTATCCCTGAACTTTGCCATATCTCATCCCTACAGAGTCCCCATCAACATACGAAACCAGTCAAGTAGAGTTAACCAGTCATTTCGTAGTGAGTAACGCGCAAGCCCTCAACAGCATCCACAAATTTCATGTCAGCTGACTTGCAACGCCAGCACATTGCATGCGAAGCATCACTACTATTACAATAGCCAAATAACTGTTACAAACACCGATACATAATAGCGGTAACTGCAGAAGATGAACACTTTAGCACGTCTTCGCTGTCGAGTTAAGCAAATTTTTTGAAGTTTATTCTTCAAAAATATTTTATTATGTTACTTTTCGTCGACGCGAACACAACATTTTCAAGCGAATAGCGCAAGTAACGCGGTTTCCTCTTTCCGTTGGAAGTTCATTACGAAATTAAATAAAATAACTAAAATTTCGGGTGCTAATATAAATGCTTACGAGTGTATATAAATATATACAATGAGAAGTTATCTTTGCAATCAACGCCAATAGATATAATATTCTATTGCTCATCATTGCCAATATTTTATGCAAATAATATAATTAACATGAGCATCTTGTGTGCGTCGCAGTGTGTGTGAAATAATAAAAACAAATACGGCATTGGTTGCAGCTGCATAAATCTATTGCAAGAATTTATGGTTTTTCAAATTAGTTTTGACGCCAACACCTGAAGCAATATACGAGAACTCTTCACGAGTTGATATTTAAATTTTGAATTTTTTTTTCTTCAAATCATAACTACTGTGGTTTTGGTTCTTTTAGGCCGTAAAATCTAGAAGTTGTTATGAAGTGTAATAATCATTAAAATTCTACTAGAAAAAATATTATAATAATAATAAAAATAAATTACATAAAAAAAATTAAAAAAAAAGAAATAAATTATTTTACATATTTTTAAAAGTATTTTCAAAAGTTTTTGAAATTAAATTGAATATGAACCGGATACGAAAATGCTTGTTCATATCACTCTTAACTGCAGTTTTTACAGTCGCAGTCGCTGAGAATCGAAATCCTAGAGTAAGTGCAACAAATTATTTTGTATATTGAAAAAAGAATATATACGCCTTTCTTTTTCAAAAATGTTCTAACTCTACTTTTTAAATCAGTATATATAGCTGAATTTTCTCAATCACAAATATTTCTTTCAGCTTCGATTATTATGAAGTCCTAAAAAACACCTTTTAATATATCAGCTTACCTAAATTTGTTTTGGAGATATAAAGCTACACAGATTTAGTACTATACAAAAATTATAAAAGAATTCAAAAAAATGTTTGTATTGGATGAGTGCATAAATTCGTGCCCGATTTCAAGTGCAAACTAAAATTGAAATTTTTTGAAGAAAGCGTTTTTATTAATCAATTATGTATTCGCCATCATGTTCGGCAATCCACTCCCAACGTTCAACCAATTTATGGATGCATGATTCATAGAAATCGCGCGGTTTCTCGTTAAAAAAGGTGTCAAGGTGGTTTTTGACGTCTTCCACATTTTTAAATATTTTTTCATTCAAATTGCTCTGCAGCGATCGAAACAAATGATAATCAGAAGGTGCAATGTGGGGTGAATATGAGGGATGCGGCATGATTTCCCAATTCATCTCCTTCAGTTTGGCCAGGGTCGGTTTTGAAACATGTGGCCTGGCGTTGTCATGATGAAAAAGAACTCCCTTGCGATTGGCCAAAATTGGACGTTTTTCTTCAATTGCTTTCTTCAATTCGACCAATTGCTGACAATACTTGTTGGCAGTGATCGTTTCTCCAGCTGACAAGAGCTCAAAATAGATCACGCCTCGGATATCCCACCAAATGCACAGCAGTACCTTCATCGGATGCAATCCACCGTTCGACATCGGTTCCGCCCCTTCGTGTGCCTGTTTCCATGTTCTTTTCGCGTTGAACATTGTTGTACAGGATCCATTTTTCATCACCAGTCACGAACCGATCCAAAAAAGGTTCGTTTTTGATCCGTCGAAGCAAAGAAATTGCTGTTGACATACGGTCCACTTTGTTTTTTTCACTCAACTGATGTGGCACCCATGTATCGAGCTTCAAAGTGTACCCAACCTTTTTTAAACGACGAAACGCAGTTGATTTGTTGACGTTCAATTCACTGGCAACCTCTTCCGTCGAAATACGTGAGTTATTCGCAACTAAAGTCCTTAGAACATCGTCATCAAGCTCAGAAGGCCGTCCACTGCATAGTTGATCTTCGAGGTTAAAATCTCCAGAACGAAATTTCGCGAACCATTTCTTTACTGTGCGGAGTGTAAAGTTATTTTATGCTGGATTTACAGTTCGGACTGTCACCTTTCCAACGATATATAATATGTATATATTTCTTTCCCGAGCGCCACTCTCAAGCGATTCGAACGGCATCCAGCGGAATCGGGCACGAACTTATGCACTCATCCAATACATACTAGAGCTCAAGATTTTGTTCGAAAACTTTCAAGTTGCTCGAGAATTCGCACACCCGTTCCAAGGCGAATTTATAGAGGGTGAAGTTGTCACATCACATGACTGCTTGTTCTGCCTTCCATTTCAACAATATGCACAAATTTCGTTTTTGACTTCTCGAAACTACTATTCTTGCTACTACCGTGTGTAAATTTGCATTGACTTGTTCATTGCTCATTTTTGGAATATTTTCGAGCTTGAGCTCGAACAGTTAAAACATTTTTGAGCATTTTGTAAGGCGAATTTATCAAGTTGGAGTTACTGGAGCAGCGAATTCAACTTTTTTCATTTAATCAATTCGCTTCAATGTAAAGATAGTCCAAATATTTGTTTATGCTTTTTGTATGTATGTTTGTTTACATTTTGATTTCCTGTTATTTTTATTTTGAATTTCTATTTGTATAGTTGAAATTTTTCAAATGAGATTTGTGACCTTTTCCAAATAAAAGAATGTGTTCCGATTTTAATTTCAGTTGAATTGATGCAACTGTTAATCAGTGACCAACGCACTTAGGGCAATATGCCCATTTTGATACCGCTAGGATGAGACTTTTATCTTCTATTGCTCCAATCTTCGAACCATGTAACACTGCAAGTTTTCACTGATGCTAGCTCAGCGTGACAGACAAAAAAGTTTTATTGTTCTATAGAATCTTTTTCTGTGGCAAAAATCATTATAGTGAAAGCCTATTTTTCAATGAAGCCATAGCTGTCTGGTCACGTTTCACGTGATCTCATTCTGCCATCTAGTGCTTGCGTTTTTGACAAAGGCAAGATTTAGCATAGACATTGTCTTGACAAAGGTAAGTCTGCATCTTGAACATGCTTTATTTTGCATAGAACAGCTGCTTCTCTCACTAGTTCGTCTGCCGTGCAATTGCTTTGAGTGTCCGGGCACCCAAACTATGGCAGTGTTGTATTTAGCCAAGAGTTTTCTTAGATTGCTAATACATTTTATAGCCACTTTAGATGTGGTACTCTTACACTGCAGAGATCTGATGGCAGCTTGATTATAGGAATCTATAGTAACTGATATTCCTGCTGTCTCATTATTGAGAGCCCACTTTTTCATCGAGCTTTGATCCGCCCGTAAAGATGGGTATGCCATTTATTTTCACCAATTCACTACTGTTTGGGATTCTTACCGAAATAATCCGTTGAGTCTTATATGTACATAGAAAGGGGAGTTCGATTCCAAGAGTCACAAAAAATGAAGGATCTACATTTAAAAAGAAAATTACGTTTATAATGTTGTTAAATTAACATATCTTCCCAATGTTAACATTAAATAAAGAATAATTATAATCAATTAGATAGAATGTACAACTGTCTCCACAGTGTTACAGGAACTTAAAGGTGTGCTGTAATTCTTGTAATCTCTTATGACCATAGCAATTATAGAACTTTCTCCTAAGCATATCTCGTGTAACGTGACTGAGTCTTATAGCCATTGCCAAAGAAGTAGATCAATCATACGTTCTTTGCATTGCTTACAAAATTCCCTTCCAAATACACGTTCTTCAAGAATTCCCTAACATCCCATAAAATAAAACTACTTTACTTTAATATCATTTGAATAATAAACATTGATTTTTAAGCCAATCTTTTCTGACTTGTTTTGGATTATTAATTCAATTTGACAAAAGCGAATTGTATGAATTTGTTTTGAATTAGACAATTGTTAACTGAAAACAAAAACAAAATACACGGTAATTGTTGTTTTTGTTCTCCTGGTCTCACCTTTATGAATTCGCCTTGGCATTTTGAATAAAAAATAACTTTCTTCTATAATTTTAATTTTATTTATGCAAAATGTAAAACTCATTAAAATACTAAAGAAATTTTGACGAACAAAATTGAAATTTAAAATTTCTAACTATCATTTGAGCAGTTGAGCAACGAACGAGTATCGAGTGGGTAACGAGCTGCTCACCATGTTTTATACCCGGGTAACTAGAGCTCAAGGTTTATAGAATACAAGGTTACTACAAGCGTTGACGTCACCGAATCCACTTCATCATATAAACAGTGGGTGTGATTTGATATTTATATAATAAAAGGAAATAATTTTTCTCTTTAAGTATAATAAGTGAAAAATTTTCTTATATAGAAGAAAACACAAATTTTTGAACTTAGATATCAACGCCATCCCAGTCGCATATTTGGCCACTTTTTTATTAAAAAATGACACAAAAATTTGCAAAAAGCTTCGTGCAGGGCTTTGATCAAACCAAAATCGAGGTGGCCGCCACCACCATCAAATGTGAATAAGAGCTTTACACGAATTTACCGTCCTTTTTTCTAATTAATACTTCATTCTTGCAGATATATTATATTATCAGGTGTACAACTTTGCTTCCGCCGTTTTCCAATAGGTGGCTGTACCGGCTGAGGCTGGTTGAAATACATAGATGATAATGCCTTTAAAGTGAGTGTAGGCAGTGCCTAACGAGTTGTCATCGCCGTTTCAGTGACAGTTGTTCTTGTTTTCGTATTATTCACGCTCGAAAATGTCCGTTTATGTGCCTAATTCTCGCCATTTGCGGGAAGTGTTACTTTGCTGTTAGAATTCGGAAAAAATGCAGCTGAAACGCATTCCGTTCGATGGCACACGGCCTGGCAGATCAGCATCTTCAATCCTTCGAAGAATTGGAAAAATGGATTGCTTCATGGATAGCGTCAAAAGAGGACTTCTTTTTTCGAGCCGGGATCCGAAAATTGCCGGAAAATGGGAGAAAGTTGTCGCTAGAGAAGGACAATACTTTGAATAATATATCTGTAAGCATTTTATCGCAATAAAGCTTTTAATTTTGGATAAAAAAACGATGAATTCAAGTCAAAGCTTCAAGTTTTCAGCCCAAAAGAAAATTAGTTCATTTAATTCATAACATGAGACTTTTAACGAATATTCAACAATTTTGTTTGTTTTGTTTGTTTTAATTTTTCACAAAAATTTGTGTTATTTATTTTTTTCTAATTTTTGTCCACAATATCACACTGCACACTTTTTTACTGTCTCGAATTTTCAAACTCGCTATTTTCACTAAATCGGCATCATTCATTTTCCAAGAGCTTTTTAGCAGACAAAGAAAATATGCAGAAATCGAGTTTTATATAATATTAAACATTTTATAAGAAAACAAGTGCGCTATGAATTTTGATCATTTTTAACATTTTTGGCATTATTTTCTCATAACATTTAATTAAAAATTAGAGTTGCTAACTAAGATTTTTTTTTTTTAAATGAAATTAATTTTTATAATTTAAAAAATTTTTAATTTTAAAACACACCTGTGGGACAAAAAGCTATTCAAAACGTTTTAAATTCAACAAACTTCGTCAATAAACATATAATGTTGCTCTTGTCGTAACCTTCTATTCCATAAACCTTGTCTAGAGCTCTATTTTAACACAAAGCTTTTATAGTAAACCAGGAACCACAAATAAAAATTATGAGTTTGAAAAAATAAAAGCCCAAAAAAGGCTATAAAACTTGCATTTTTATCACCGAACCACACTGCTCAAAGATACACTGCGCGACGACATGCATGCATGTTT